ATTTAGGTAAAAAATAGAGCTAACGCTAATGTAACGTTTAGAGCGTTGGCTGCCGGTAAAGGCCTTCTCTGATACGCAGGTTCAAATCCCGCCGACGGCCTCGAGTGTTTTCACAATTGGGTCAACTCAAATTTAAAGGACTGTCATAACACCTTATGTTATCAGAGAGGGCCCTATCCGGTACGACCGTCAGGCCTGGTTCCGTGGCGAATGGAAGAACTGCGACGCCAGTTGGGAAAAATAGTGTATCCTGTACAAAACTAGAGAAGAATAGATTGGAGGTGGTTGGCAGCCGGGTAAGGGCACTTCTGGGGCCGTGGGGGCGGCATCCCAGGTGTAAGACCCTAGAAAGTCTCACAGAGCCCCTTGCGAATATAAGGACGAATTTCCATCGATAGGCATCAGTTACCTGAGCAACAGGAGTTTACGTTGATGGCGTTGATTATATTTAGCTCATTGAAAAAAACTATAAGTGGTTTTAAGTTAATATTCTTTGATCACTTTAAACACAATTAAATATTCATTTACACTCGTTAACCGAGAATTAAATTTTTAACCACCAATCACGTAAGACATTTGGCCGGGGGGTATATATATAGGAGGACCTAAAAGACAGTTTTGCCCTTTCCTGGAAAGTAGCACAAGACCACATGTATTACTAAAGGTAGGAGGAGGAATTATATATCCATGCCTTACTCGCAAAAGTCTAGAAGACGCCACACCATGGAGCAAGGTAAGAGGATTTGCCTTTTGAAAATAGAAGCTTTTACAACATGCGTGCATTCTGAATATCCGATACTTTTTAAAGATCACAAATAAGTCCATTCTAACTACTGAGCAAAGCGATGGATAATATTGTGATCTTTTTTTAGGAGTGGTCCTTTCTGCGCTACCGGTTTAAAAAGTTGTTTGAAAGCATTCAATTATAACTAAAATACCATTGGAAAGTCTTCAGATCATTGCAGCAGCCGATTTGGTTTATATAAAATTTGTCTCAAACTTGAGTATCGGGGCTCACTATGCTGTCGACAAATAGTATGTTGGCGACTGAACATAGTCTTACAATTTCCTTTTCTCTGATTGCCCAGAAGCCAATTTCTTTTCGAAAGGGTGAAACTTCGATTGCAGTTTAGTTCTTCGTGCCCAATGTTGAGAAGGTTCTGCGAAGTTTAATTTATTTTGACGCCAAAGTTGCGAGTGGGTGTTCAAGAAGTGGTTCCTTTGTTCCACACATAGGACGGATTAATAGTGCTTTGCAGTTGGAACTACCTTCTTATATTCCATTGGTTCCGAGGGAAATATGCGAAATGAATTAAGAAATCAAAAGTCTAAAAATACACCACGTCTGCTTTGTCTAACATTTTGCAAAAGAATATTCATTCAAAAACTGCAGTCAATCTTCACTGCAAGCAATCACAGACTTTAAAATAATTATAGGTCTTCTGCCGTACTATCGCTGAGTCGCATGCGATTGTACAGAATCTGCCAGAGGATGTAAACTGGCTGAAATTTTCCTTCGGTGACATTCTCTGGATCATATCTCGAAATGGAATGCCGGAATTATTGACGGTAAGTAAGTCACATTTTCTATTTAAAAAATTGGTCATTACGATTATGCAGTTTTATGGGGGAGGAATCCTGCTTTTTGTTCCAGACTACGACGTATTCCATTACCGTTGTTTCTGAATTCTTCTTTTTTATATTTTAAAAGGCTCTGAATCTGAGTCGACTTTATGGTCGAATAATGCAGGTTACGCAAGAGGCTGACGAATTAGAACTACAAACGCTACTCCCGAAAATGGTGGCTGGTATCTCACACCTAAGTCTCGATTCCAATCTGTCTGGTTCACCGTCAACTAGCCAACAAGCAAGTCCCACCGTCGCGATCTGCGCCTGTCTGCGAGAAGTTCTCCCTTCAAACCTTAAGCAAGACATTGGTGACTTGATAGGTAGTGTTCCGAGTCCAAAGTACTTGAAATTCCGATCAGAGGAGCATATACAAATTCACGAAGAAGGCCTTGGAGGACTTAGACCTTCAAGGGGATGCTTTCACAGGCTCTTGCGGTGGCCCTTTTGCGGCAGGACCAAGGCCTTTTCACCTGAAGGCCCTGTAGCTGAAGCCCGCGGAGCCGGGGTTATCCCGCCACTTTTTGTTAATTGGCGAATTTCATCCAAGGTCTACATCTTTGGGACCTCCTGTCCGATGAAAGTGCGTCGGAGTATCCTGCTGCTTGGACCAGCAGGGCTTCGTAAGTCGCATGTTCTCAAGTGTCTCTGGGAAATGGCTCCGGACAGCTTCTTCAGCCCATCGCGTAAGTCAGGGACGTTTTTCATCACAGTTTAAAGGCCCAGAATGTTTTAAAGGTCAGTCACCTTCGCCCACCTTAAAGTATTCATACTGACAGTAACGGGAGATTGGATAAAATATGATAATAAGCATATGCATATATAAAGAAATTCATATGGAACTTCAGACCGGCACAGTTTTCCTAATCACGCGTTCTTCTTATAGAGGAGAGTCAGATGTGATCGTCGGAACAATAATTTTATTCGCCTAACGTTTCGAATTCCATCGCGGGTTCATCATCAGAGAAAAAAGCAGGCCCGTTTCTGCTATTGTCTCTGATGATGGATTTATGATGGATTTCTAAACGTCGGGCAAATAAAATTCTTGTCCCAGCGATCACATCTGTTTCTTCTCAATTGTTTCCTGG